TTTTTGTTGACACGCCCCCAACTTGCAAATTCAGGGCTTATTGAAAAATCAGAGTTTCCCCACTAGTAAATAAGACATTGTGGTGACGTTCAAGTGCACTCGTTTCATAAATCCGATATTTCCGACAGGACTTGAAGGCAGCATTACAACCTTGAAGAAACCACTGTAAAGCAATCGGAGTCTGCAGTTTCTCTAGAACAGAGCATTTCACATCAAAACACTCAGAAAGACTTGGTTTTCATCTCAGTGATTGAATTATGAAGAACTTATGATCCATGGAATTCCCCTTTACCCGTTAACCCCCAGACTAACAAGGTAAAACAGGCCAATTTTGATTTCAGACTTTAAAATGTCGGAGTCTGGAGTGTAGATCTCAGATCAGTGGGAAAAAGCTGCTTCTGCTTCTGTGTGGTTGTATAACTCAGCTGTCAGGTAGCTTATGGAGTGGTTTAGCAGGAAAAAAGAACAGAAGCAGGGCTAGTGTATAAGAGCAGGACATACAAGCTGCACTGCGAGCTCAAGGTCTGGAAGGCATGTCCGTAACGGTCCTACGCACTTGCCGGGTCTCTGACTCGGTTGCCATGGAATGCCAATTGCAGCCTGACAGCTTCAATTTCAGGCGACAAGACAGACATCTATAATGAATGAAGCCCTATTTCTTCTGCATGAGCAGCCATCACCAACCAACTCACTGGACTGGAACAAGTAACAAAGGCAAGAAAAAAAAAAAATTGAGAAAGGTCAGATTTGCACATGTGAAGGTGTATGTATGTGTGTGTGTGGTGTTAAAGTGAATCTGTGCATGACTTTCAACCTGAACCTTTCATGTAAAATGACTTTCCCTCTTTTACAGTAAGCAAACATTTCAACTACGGATCAATTATGCAGAAAATTCTCAATCCCGGAGAAAACACACGAATATGCCTTACGCCGCTCCAGTTAAACAGCTGCCTCAAAGTGAGAATAGAGAAGCTCTGTGCCAGAACTGGCTTCTCTCTTTCTGCCAGTTTCTGCATGTCTGTCGACACATAAAGACAAGCAGGGGAACATCTCTGCACTGTTCCGCAGGTTAGGAGGGAGATATTTATATCCATGAGCTCTTATTGTTTCCTTTGACACCAACTCATTCCACACGCTGTTTCAGACCTACTTCTGTCCCCACCTAATTTTCCCTTCTGCTGGGGAGTAAAGGAGACAATGGAAAGCTTGTGCATGATTTTACTGCCTCATTTTTAAATCACTGGAATTTCATCCTGCATCTCAAAGGCACACAGATTAAATAAAAAAAAATACAGTAAATTTCCATCCCCCATCATGTCATATACAGTGGAGGAAATAAGTATTTGATCCCCCACTGATTTTGAAAGCTTGTACTCTGACAAATAATTAAACAGTCTATGATTTTTACGGTAGCTTCATTTTAACAGTGAGAGATGGAATATCAAAAAGAAAATCTAGAAAATTAAATAATATTTAAATAAAAAATAATTTGCATTTCATTGAGGGAAATAAGTATTTGATCCCCTAAAAACCATGACTAATGTTGGTCCCACAGACCACTGACACACCCTAATCTCAGTGAAGTCGTTACCTGCATGAGAGACACCTGTCCCAAATTGTCAGCTGTATAAAAGGCCACCTGCCAACAGACTCAGTGACACTCCAACATGTCCACCATGGGCAAGACTAAAGAGCTGTCTAAAGATGTCAGGGACAAAATTGTTGACCTGTACAAGGCTGGAATGGGCTACAAAGCCATAAGTAAGAAGCTGGATGAGAAGGTGACAACTGTTGGTGCAATTATTCGGAAGTGGAAGAAGTACAACATTACTGTCAATCGACCTAGGCCTGGAGCTCCATGCAAGATATCACCTTGTGGAGTCTCATTGATCATGAGAAAGGCTAAAAATCAGCCAAGAACTACACGGGAGGAGCTGGTTAATGATCTCAAGGCAGCTGGGACCACAGTCTCCAAAAAAACCATTGGTAATACACTGAGACGTAATGGTTTAAAATGGTTCCTCTGCTCAAGAAGGCTCACGTCCAGGCCCGCCTCAAGTTTGCCAATGAACATATTAATGACTCCGAGAGAGACTGGGAGAAGGTGCTGTGGTCAGATGAGACCAAAATTGAGCTCTTTGGCCTCAACTCAACTCGACGTGTTTGGAGGAAGAAAAATACAGGATATGACCCTAAAAACACCATCCCCACCGTCAAGCATGGTGGTGGAAGTATTATGTTTTGGGGGTGTTTTTCTTCTAAGGGCACAGGCCAACTTAACCGCATCGACGGGAAGATGAATGGGGTCATGTATCGCAAAATCCTGGGTGACAACCTCCTTGCCTCCGTCAGGGCACTGAAAATGGGTCGTGGATGGGTCTTGCAGCACGACAACGACCCAAAACATACAGCCAAGGAAACAAAGGAGTGGCTCCATAAGAAGCATATCAAGGTCATGGAATGGCCTAGCCAGTCTCCTGACCTCAATCCCATAGAAAATCTATGGAGAGAGCTGAAGCTTCGCGTTTCCAAATGCATGCCTAAAAACCTTAAGGATTTGGAGATGATCTGCAGAGAGGAGTGGGCCAAAATTACTCCTGAAGTGTGTGCAAACCTTATAAAAACTACAAGAAACGTCTGACTGCTGTGCTTGCCAACAAGGGTTTTGCCACCAAGTATTAAATGATGTTTTACTAGGGGGTCAAATACTTATTTCCTTCAATGAAATTCAAATAAATTTTTATTTCTCATTTCATGTAATTTTCTCAATTTTTCTTTTGATATTCTATGTGTCACTGTTAAAATAAAGCTGGCATAAAATTATGAGACGTTTCATTTATTTTTTTGTATTTATTTTTTGCATTTATTTTTTTGTAAAACTTTTAAAGTCAGTGGGGGATCAAATACTTATTTCCTCCACTGTACACATAGCAATTCCTCACTATACAGTGTGTTAAAACATTTCTCACTTGCGGTATGGTGAAACATGGAAATTTTGTTACATGTGTGGATTCTAACCCTTCAATCTGTAATTAAAATATGATCAGAAGTTACTGTCGAGCACAGAGTCTGTTTTGCAAAAAGAAAATCATTCTTTGCCACATTTTTGTCATTTCGAAATTGAAGAAATGTTAGAAGTGGAAGCTTGAATCATCTCCACAGAATGCATATTACATATTAAATGTAATTCATTACATAACTAACTACATAATAATTATATAATTATAGTTCAACAGTATAGCAAACAGCAGTAATAGCTCTAGACTTGTAAGGGTTAATTGACAGACTGGGTGAATAATCCTATTCTATTACTCTTCTATTTGGACAGAAGACACATAAATCGCCTGGTATTAATATGCTTTATGCAGGGCCTTCTAATGATTTCTGGGAGCTTAAAAACTCGTTTTAATAGAATAATGATGCTTGTTGTATTTAAACTGCTTTAATGCTTGCTAAGACATTAAAGCGTGTAATGGAAAACTGTCCATTCAGGACTTTTATTTCCATGGTATCTTAGTAGATACAATCAATTCCATTTTTACAAATGAACATAGTGGACGCAATTTGTAAGGCATTAAAATATCAGTTCTGAAATGCTTTTATTCATAAACAACCACTCTAAACACAGGAAAACTAGATCCAACAAGTAGTAAAAGCAAAAGACTTTCATTTCTTTTGTCTAATGCAAATGAAAAGAAAGACACTGCATGTCCATCCTGGTATTAAAAGTTCAACAGTGACTCTTACAGGGGCTTGGAGCTGATCGAGGCACTACAACAGTGCTGTATGTGTGAGCGTGTGGTGGAGTGTGAGGCCCTGATTCAGCTCAGTTACGAAAAACTAAAAGGAGAAAACAGAATAAACTACAGGAGCCAACATGAGCATTAATGTTAACACGTCTTCAAATTTGCCGTTCTATTTCTTTCGTGTCAACTCGCCGCCCGTTTCAGTACCGGTTTTAACAAACCCTAGTCCATTTGGCCTGGCCATTTCCCCTTGGGGGAATCCCCAGCGTCATCCTAAGGGCCTTTCCTTTACTTTATTACCTGAAGTGTAGTTTATAAGATGAACCCTTGGATAAGACTACGGCGGCAGGACTTGTACAGAATTCACTGCAACCCAACTCATTTCCCTTTTCAAACCCAAAAATAATGGTGGATAAAGCTGCTAATAAGCCAAAGCAAAACTATTTAAAAATGTTTGATATTTCAAAACCATAACATTCAATTTGCTGGGCTTTAGGTTGCAAACTGCTCAATCAATATTCTGCTAGCTTGTTAGTTAAGATGCACAGCTAAAAACAAAAAAGGGACTACACCACAGTTTAAACCCAAGCTTAAAGGCAGAGAAAAACGTATTTATAAAATGTGTTTGTATATGTTTGTTTAGCTAACTGAGGCTAACCTAGCCAAGGGCAAGTGCAGCCAGATTCAGAAAAATTCACTCCTCACTGTCCTCTCCTCCCCTTTTGGACACTTGCACAAAGCAGGTGTGACACATTTCTGAGTGGCGAAGTTGGCGAGGGCATGTTATGAAAGGGCCTTGAACTACAAGTTTCATGGTCTTGTGCCCGCTCTGATGGAAAAGAAAACTGTTGCAGGTATACTGAATAGAAGACTGTAAAAACACACACACTTTCTGAAACCGCTTATCCTTCTGGGTCGCAGGGGGTGCTGGAGCCTATCCCAGTGATCATTAGGCGTAAGGCAGGATGCACCCTGGACAGGTCACTGTAAAACACCCTCGGTTTTAAATAATAAAAAAAAAACAATATTTAGAGGGCCAGAACAGACGAACTTGCTCCCAAAATGGAAATGTGAGGCACTAAGATATACTGTGAGATGCGGTGCTTGATAAAGCAGTCCCTTGTGCTCTAAAGAGTGATGCGTACAGTTCAGTGGTTTTCAGCCTCTTGGCTTTCACCAGTGGAGCGTGAACTGATACAGATGTGAGATGTGATACAGATTGTGTACGTGTGCACGTGTCTAGCATTCACTCACTCTGTGATCTCCTCTGTAACTGTGTGTTCCACCTGCAGACGGGAGTTGACCTCGATAAAGTAGTGTTTTCCATGCTTATCCACCAGGAACTCCACTGTGCCTGCATTTTCATATCCAACCTGAGAGGGAGAGAGATATAGAGAGAATGAGAGAGAGAGAAAACACACACACATTTAGAGAGTAGTACTCTACCACACACTAGTTAAAGCGATTAAACCTCTTGGATTAGTGTCCTCAAGAGACTATTTACTAAACAACAAACTAAATGAAGATTTTCATGATACAATTACTTTCCTCCAATAATGGCCACAGCGCCAGTACAAGCAGCGCTGCTAAAACGCAGAGTTTATTTCAACCAAAGACAAACAGTCTTAATCTAACTTTATGTTTTCAAAGAAAATATCAGAGGTCCTAGATTTTATTAGCAGTAAAAATATTATTGGTCCTTGAAGGCAACGAGTTGATTAAACATTTAGAGTTGACCTTTAAAACGGCCGGCTGGCTAAGAGTACGATTACGAGGGAGAGAACAGGCTTCAAGACAGCAGGTAATCTGTTAGAAGGCCATTTCTTCACAGAAGAAACACACACTCGCGCACACACACAGTCCCCAGCAGGAGCGCACGTAATCCGGCACCCAGATTTCACACAGATCTGATCCAATTCATCTGTGGCGCTGTGTTAGTGTGGCTTTGCTGGCTGCTCTCAGCAGAGCGCACCTTCAGATCCGCTCCCATCACACGCCTCACTTCAACCCCACAATCAGCACTCATGTAAATCACAGCCGGCGCCAGCTCGGCTTAAAAGAAAATCGAACAGGAGGCTGCTCTTGGCCACACATGTGCATAGATGTAATGCTGAGAGATATATCGTCTATAGTGGTATTGCTGTTACACAGTGATATTGAAGATTAAATTCACCAATTTTTTTTAAAGAATTCTTCATAATTCGATCAGTGTTTTAATGTGAAAAGCTCCATTAGAGAAACTTACCAGGTCTTTTCTATAGTGTTGATAGGAACTCGGGTTGCGATGTTTACAATGCAAATACAGCCATTTTATTTGCTCTCCAATATGACCAGAGGATCTACACGTGCCTTATGAGTTTTTATATGGTAAAAATGGCAATAACAGCAAAATAGTGGTAAATTGTGGCTAACTGTGGATACGTTTTTGCCTTAAATGCTTTCGCCACTACATTTTTACAACTACATTTGATGTCAAAATTCTTGGGTCTCCATAATCTTTGACAGAAGTTTGAAAAATTTTGTCCACCTCTAAAAGGCTTCTGATTTTTAATGATGTCACCATGCACCAGTGGGCAGAGCAAAATAATATGAACCAATATAAACTTTAAATCCTTTGGACATCTGGTTTCAATCACCACCGCTGTACACAATTCTGACTCTAAAAGTTTCTCAACAATTGCGAAACCACTCTGAATGACTGTTTATATCTTAAAACTATAATTATGTAAAAAAAAAATATGTGGTGAAATTCTCCTTTAGAATTAGTGGTTTTGATAGATAAATAAACTGCATTGCTTGTCATTGGCTGGAGGTTAATTGTTTTTGTTTTTTCTATAAAACCTTAATAGGTCAAAATGGGGAATGTCCCCACCTTAAGAAAGAACAATGTCTGTAATATCTGTGCTTGAGTTTACTTACACACAGTTAGGGCAAATATTCTGGAACATTTTTATTTCACATAAAAACCACCTTTACACTCTATGGCTCACTACCTGGGGTAAGAAGCCAGGTGAATTATTTTAATAATCCATGTTTTACAGAATGTATAATTTATAAATCAACTCCTTTCGTGTCCTTTCACTTAAAAGGTTCAAAATACAACAGAAAAAATATAATGTGAAATGAAATTGAGGGCTCTAGCAATGTATGTCGCAATGACCTCCTTTTAATGATTCCACAACATCCAGATGAAGTTTTTAAATTATTTAGAGCACAGTCATTCAGTAAATGTGTCAAGATCAGATTTGTCCCTATCGTTTGATCAGGAGAGAAAACAAGGGGGGGTTGCACCTTACCCCTGGGGGCTTTTCCTCTAACCATTTAGTTTGCTTAGAGTACCAGCAAACGGGAAGCATCAGTTCATTAACTTAATGCAAAGTAAAATATAATCTGAAACCATGCTACTGTGATACTGAATTTCATTAATACCACTCAACACTACCTAGATACATAAACCAGCTTCACATTGAATCTGTGCTATTTACCATGTGCTCTTTTCAACCCTGCCCTGTCTGCACAGAGACAGAGAGAAGCCAGCAGATTACCAAAGGACTCTCCATCCATTCACCCACTCCCCATGCGCTACACACACAATGATACGTTCTGGTGACACAAGCAAGGCTATTAAACTAGAGTGTGTCACAGTGTGTGGCAGTGCACCACAAGCACACCATTACACGATGTAAAAATCCCAGAACCTTAATACCAGCACGATATTGTTTCTTTTCTTACATCAAATGTAGTCGATCAGACATGTTTGCTTCTTTAGTATTGCACTGGAACTATGACGCTAATGCAGTAATGGAAGTAATGGAAGTTTATAACCAACCAACAAGCACACTGCAAGTCTTCATCACTCACTTGCCTTTAGCCATATCATGTTGCTAAGCAAACTAGAACAGTGGTAGCCCCCTGAAGCCTAAATTATTTCCATGTTTTGTCCACTTTTATAGATATGCTATTTGCACAATGCAAAACTGGTGGCTATAAGCTTCCATTACCTCCAGTTTCAGTACATCTAACATAGTTTGGACAGTATCAGGGCACTTTTTGTAGTGTAAGAAAGGGCAATACAATGTGCATTTTATGATTTCGTATTAAACCAAACTGTCAAGAATGATACTCAGGAAACTCAAAATCAGAAAACAGGGTCAAATATCTGGATGACAGTCTACTTCAGACAGAGCCAAAATCGAAAAACAAGTAAACAGACAGAAAGTCAAAAACACCAGAAACAAGAAAGAGATACAGAGCTAAAAAAGACCCAGGCAAAGCTAAAAGACCCAGGCAGAAGAGAAAAAGATTTCAAGAATCAACACTATACTGTATACACACATACACATACTACTATGTTAGGAATTGCTTGTCATATTTTTTGTTATTTTATATTTATATTTATTATTTTATTACAATATATGGTATGAGTCCTAAATGAATCCAATAAATGATGCATAAGTGTAAACCATGTCATTAGTGTACTGATGAAGCGGGGTATGATATACTATATGCCCAAAATTATGCAGACATCTGAACATCTAATTGCAAACTCCTGGTCATTAATATGGAATCTATCCCCCTTCACTGCAATAATAGCCTTCACTCTTCTGAGAAGGCTTTACACTAGTCTTTGGAACATGGATGCAGGGAATTGCTTCCTCTCAGCCACAAGAGCATTTGTGAGGTCAGGCACTGATGTTGGGCGATAAGGCCCAGCTCGCAGTCGATGTTTCAATTCATCCCAACAGTATTTGGGGTCGAGGTTAGGGCTCTGGGTCATGCTGAAACAGGAAATAGCCTTCTCCAAACGGTTGCACAAAGTTCAATGCACACAAGCCTCTACAATGTACTGTACTTATGTTGTAGCACTAACATTTCCCTTTACTGGATCTAAGGGGCCTAGCTCAAACCCTGAAAAACCCTGAGTAACAACCCCTGACTATCGCTCCTCCACTTTACTGCTGGCACATAGTGCTCTCCCGAAATCCACCAAACCCAGATTTGACTGTCAGACGGCCAGATGGTAAAGTGTGAATCATCACTGCAGAGAACATGTTTCCAATGACAGTGTGCTTTACACCGCTCTAGCCAATGCTTGGCATTGTACATGGTGATTTTAGCTTTGTGTGCAGCTGCTCGGCCATGGTAACCCAATTCATGAAGTTCTCGACCAACAGTTCTTACTGATGTTGCTTCCAGAGGCATTTGAGCCCCAGTGGTCAGTTACAGATACTGTTGTTTCTTCTAGTAAAAGTCATGAAGTTTAAAATGGAAAATCGAGAAATCATTTAAATTAGACGTGTCCTTAAAAATCTGCTGTGAACTGATTCAGAAGACAGACCTACTGTAGAGAACCAAGATGCCAGATTACGGTTGAATGGGGGAAAGAACTAGAAGTGAAATATGTGCTTGCATAGTTGCCGCCGACAGGTGTGGCTGAAATTACCACAAATTAAAAAGGGGGCCCACATAATGCACACCTCTTCTAACTGGACACCCCATCGGTAAATGGCTATGTAGTGCAGGTTGACTCAGAAGGTGATGGAGCCAAGAGCGACAACTGCTGAGACATATAACCAGAAATATGGAATTCACCAAAATCAAATATAAAACTAAAATGTACTACATATTTTCCCTATAATCCCTACAATATTCATTAAAACCTTACATAGATGAACAATTATGGTGTTTTGTGTCATTTGTTATGTTGTGATAATGATATTTTCTCACATAATTACTATATGGATTTTCCAACCCTGAGTCAAAAGAAAAGTCTGAAAGCACACCGTGTCGCTTTAGTAAAAGGGCAGACTGATTCAATAGGTATGTAAATGGAGAGGTCTAATGATGAGAAGAGAAAAGGAGGGAGTGAGGAGGACAGATGGCATTCCACTGAGGGGAATAAAGAGGGGGATGGGGGTGAGGGAAATGAGTAATTACAAGTTTCACAGCTTGATACAATTTGTAATTACTTCACAGCACCACAGCACCAACATTGCTGGATGATGTGCAACACCCAGAAGTCATGGGAGGTCACATGTAAGGATGCTCAGCCACGAATGAAGGAATAAATGAAGGAACGAAGGAGATGCAGTGATAAGGATAGATAGATAGATAGATAGACAGATAGATAAATAGATAGATACTGAGAGAAAAAAGAATGAACATTAGATAGAACATTAGACAAACAGAATGACAGAACAATAGGTAGCACTGATACATAGACAGAACAAATAGATAGATAGACAGACAGACAAAAATCAGACAAAATATTAACAAAAATCAAAAACACTATCAAAATCTACCCTTTATTTGAAGTACAATGATTAAAAGAAAAGGTCTAAATCTTATGAAATAATATTTCTCAAATCTGGAA